CTCCGCCCACATCTAACGCCCTCAATTCTCCTTGGGTTGCTTTGCTCAGTTGGGTCTCGGTTCCCTTTAGCTACAAGGGGCAGGAGACAGATCGGTGCCTTAACCCCCTCCTCCCCGCGATTCGTTCCTTGCTGGCTTCCCTCCCTTCCCCGGTTCCGGGTCTCGCCCCACACTCCCGGCTCGCCTCTCGGCCAGGGGTCGGCACAGGGATCGCCGCCCAGCCGGGGAGGAGGCTGTCGCGTCGCACCCAGCAGTGAGCTGTGGCCTGGGGCAGAGGGGAAACAGATCCCCAAGCGCCTCAGGTGTGCCGGCTCGAAGGGGCCTCCCTGCTCACACCTCGGATCCGGAGGTGTGCAATCGACCGGGGGTGTGGGGGGTGAGCTAGGGACAGTCATTCCAAGGTATCGATTGGGTGGTGGAAGGAGGCCGCCCCCTCCCCCAGACCAAGTCCACTTGCCACATGATGACGCTTTTTAAAGGCAGGCGGGGGAACGTTTGCCAAGTGTGTGCTGACGATATGCAGATCAGCCGCGGGGGAAGCAAAGCCAGGAGTGACCAAAGTCACCCCAGCGGAACAAAAGAATAAAACCACCCACAATCCACCAACCGACCCGAAAACACGGGGAAAATCCGCAGAAACAGAAACAACCCCCGGGGTGTCGCGCTTCTCCAGAGAACCGACATCTCCTGCTCAGCTGTCTCTGTCACCACCAACACACACTCCACTGTGCCTCCCCCTGTCACCACCAGTACACACCCCATCTTTCCTGCTCCTACCTTTGCACACACATGTGCACGTAACATATACACACAGGTAGTCAGACATTGGCCTGCATGGGGACTTTGGAAGAGCTGGGAATGCAGAATTAAGCTCTATGGGGGTGTATACTTTTATAACACCCTGATGCGCGGGTATCTATCTAATCCTTCTACCTAGCGTTTGTCATATAGGGACTTGGGTTCTCTTTCCCCCTTCCATACAAGGTACCAAAGCAGTAACTCTCTTTTATTCCTTCGTTTCTTCGTCCCTACAATGATTCCAACATAGTGTTGAAATCACGCGCAGGGGAAAGGTGCCCTTTGAAATTACACCCTCGCCCTCTAAGTACACAATGCCTCTACCAGCACATTAGCTGCCATTTTCAGCCACTCTTTGGGTTTTTTTAAAAATACTGCGTGAGAGCCTTGTCTCACCCTCTCTAGTACTGGTTAATAAGCTCTCTCAAAATCCCTTGCGCACCCCCAAACCCATTAGCAGAGTGTTACCAAACGCAGACAGACAATCCCTTCCCTAACTGATTGACAAACGTCATTTGCAAGAATGCCCTTTCATTTCGTGTTTGGGTTGCGATTTTCATATTATATTGCCCAGAAACACCTAATGAATTACGATCCGTTTTACCTTTTTGTTTAAAGAACGTGGCATTTTCCTGCTAATTTGGAAACAACACAAAACCTTCCAGAAAAAAAATAATGCTCACCTTTCTTAGCATTGTAGTGTATATTGACAATGCAGTGCATTTAATATGATGCAGTATTTTGATTGTAAGCGGCCTTCTTTTGAATGTTTTATTTTGGATATGTAACATAGCTGATATTTAAACGTTTGCTATTTCCTGTCATGTAATATAGACGTATTCATTTAATAGAACTGTATTTTATATATGTAACATAACTGATATTTTTAAATCCAGTGCAACATATTGCATATTATGCACTACAATACTTTTCTTTTGATCAGAACTATATTTTAATATATGCAGCAGAGAAGGTAGTTAAATGTGTATCCAACAGATTTTGACTTAAATCAGTGAAAATCACCCAGGGCAAATGACCTCCTAGTTCACAAAAAAAGTTGATAGAGGAATTCCTCATTTCATTTCAACTCAAAATTCAAAAATGGATTTCAAAAAATAATCATAAAGAGTGACCCTGTTCCAACAACATTGTGAGTTCATTTAGTGGAGGGTTTTTGTTGAATCTTTTAGCTAAAATACACGGCCATATATATACATATAGAATCCCCCTTGAATCTTCAAGCTTTGAAGTTTTTTTTTTATTTTGGTGAGTCAGGAATAAAACACCAACTGCTCAATTAGATTGAACAACGGGGGTACTTAAAAAACCAATTGTGGCAGTGTTTAAATCTTTATTTACCAGAACCTTGTAAAGGGAGGAACAATTTGCATTCTATTAACTGCTTTTCAATAGGGCATCGACTGGAACTAAAGGATGCCACTATCTTGCCCTAATTAAAGAGCAACTGAATTACACTAAATACATATGAATACTACTATCCCCCCATAAATAACCCCAGACATCTTGCTATAGGTGAGGAGTGCTTCATCACATTCGCCCAGGCTCTGTTACGATCAGCCTGGAGCTCAGATACTCTGACACTAGATGGCCCACAGGTCATGTGGAATTTTTTTTTAAATAGCCCAATCCACCCCCTTTGAGGCCATCAGACACAAAATATACATAAGAACGGCCCTACTTGGTCAGACCAATGTCCATCTCGCCCAGTCTCCTGTCGCTGGCAGTGGCCAGTGCCAGGTGCTTCAGAGGGCACTAACAGAACCGGGCAATTTCCAACGATTTATCCGCCCTGTAGTCCACTCCCAGCTTCTGGCAGTTCTGAAGTCCAAACCAGAGGACTTCCTTGTCATTTAGTCTATGAAGCAATCCTGTTCCCTTAGCAGCAAGGCAGGTGGGTTAGAGAACACAGAGGAGAAGGGGAGGAGGGGGTGTGTAGCATCCCCATGGCTGCACCATCCAAGAGCATGTCTGGAAATAGTCCTGAGGCGGTAGAGAACCCCGAGCCCATGTGAAAAATGTTCTCTGCACACAGTGAGTAGAGAAAGCGAAAGTCGATGATACACAAGGAGGTTTTCATCGTACTTATGAATATATTAAACAGATCACTGTGTTTCCATAGGTAGAAAATCGATCTGGGTAAATACATTTCACCCTGTATTCTGTGTCTAGAACAGGCGCATTGCATCTGTGTTTACGTTGCCTTACAAATGATCATACAGTATAAAAACCAGGGTTCTGTTATGCAGACACTCGAGCAGAAGAGAAAGAAACTGTCTCTGTCTTGACACATATATGGAGACATGTATGTGTATGCAGAAGAGAGGAATACTTCTCCACACTTTGCCTTCATACTGTATCATTTATAAACACATAAAGACTATGAGTATGAAGATACATATATATATATATATATATGTGTGTGTGTGTGTACATATACATATACACACATATATATATACACACACACATATATATACACACACACACACACACATTCTGTATAATGTACATAATACATGATGCATACATAGTTATAACACACGTGTCATGGGACTATATGTTTAGCTGTATGCATCATGTATGATATATATTATACAGACTGTATGTATGTATTTTTCTAGACAACCGTGTTTATAACCATGAAATTCACACGAAGCTTTAGACTGGACACATGAATCCACCCTAGTGGGGTGGTGGAGTTGAATGTGTAGAAATTCTATCAATGAAATTTTAACCTAAATCTTAACACAGAGAACCAGACCCCACCTCTCCCAGGATACTCAGAAATGCTTCAAAGTTTACAATTCGGTCTTTGGGGTCTCTCTGTTCTGTGCTATAGTGCCCTGGAGCGCAAGAGGCAACGTGTCCTGTCCCCCAGTCCTATAACCAACCCTTTTCTCCTGATTACGCGTGGGTGCATTTATTTTTCGGTGACTGTCCATTCATTTAAAATAAAGTCAGGACTGCATCAGCATCTGAGCCCTGATGGTTTGGGTACCCTCGGTTTCAGAGCCAGACAGCAGCATTTCCCGGCTAGCAAAGCCCCCTTGGCTCGCAAAAGAAAACCAGACTGGGAGAGGACCGCGTCAGATAGATCCCAAATGCAAATCATTGCCCGGGCTATAGAGAATTGATTGGCGGTGCCATTTGTAAAATGAAGAAGCTATCATATTGATCCATTGGGCAGGAGAGGGAGGAGGGGAACAGCTGAGTTTTGACTCATTCAGCAGCATGAAGAAGCAGGCCTCGGCTTTTCTGTGTATACAGACCGTTTAGACCTTGCTGGGGTAACTGATTTACCGCTATGTATTTAGGGTGGCGAGTCCAGGTCAGTATAAAGCCCTTCCAATGGACCAAAAAAACTGAGAAGAGCAGGTAGGTAGCTAAATAGCTGTGTAGAGATAGATAGGTAGTCCGAGGAAGGACAGAGAGAGAGAGAGAGGGTGTCTGAGGACAGATAGATAGATAGATAGTCCGAGGAAGGAGATATATATAGAGAGAGAGGGTGTCTGAGGACAGATAGATAGATAGATAGATAGATAGATAGATAGATAGATAGATAGTCCGAGGAAGGACAGAGAGAGAGAGAGAGAGAGAGAGAGAGGGTGTCTGAGGATAGATAGATAGATAGTCCGAGGAAGGAGATATATATAGAGAGAGAGGGTGTCTGAGGATAGATAGATAGATAGATAGATAGATTCTAAGTAACCTATAGCATTTGCACCCCTGATTCCTTTGACCTATGATCTTTATATTTCAGACTGTCAGCAGCAGGCTGGTCGGAGGAGGGGATTTTGAGGAGGGGAAAAGGACGAGGTTTATGATAAATATGATTTCCTTTTCCATGCGATCGGTTAAAGACTTGAAACAACCGGTAACACAGAGAGAGTGAGAGAGAAAAATAAGGATTCAGCTACCAGTGCAGAGCAGTTAAAGGAGAGCACACCGTGTGTGTGTGTGTGTGTCCCTTCCCAGGTTAGCAGTATGTCCGAGGAGAAGCACTGATTGGATTTTTGCAATCTGTACCGATGTGTCACACCGCTGCCGCGCGTGCAGAGGGTGCCTTTGCTGCGGGGGTCCGGGCAGACCCACCCCGGTCCTTCGGGTTTCTAATGCCATCGGCTATTCCCCCTGCACAGTCCCACGACTCCAACACCCCCGCGTCTCCTCTGCCCCCCTACCTGCGAGCCTCAGCGCCGACATCCTCTGGAATTCGGGCTCCTGCAGCCACTTCCACATTCTCCGGAAGGTCTCCCGCCCGGACTTGAGTTTACTCCAGGGCTTGGGGTTCCGCAGGAGGTCGGACAGGGTGCCCTGAGACCGGCACAAGATCCGCTGGGCAAAGATGGCCTGGGGGATGCTGTACCGCTTCAGCTCCGCCGTGATCCTCTGCGCCACCTCCTTGGTGTTGATCTCCTCCACCTGCCCGGAGCTGCCGGCCTGCGAGCCCGAGGCGGAAGCCTGCCTCTCCCGCTCGCCCAGGATGGAGCCGTTGGGCTGGCCGTGGTGGTGCCCCTGGTGGTGCATGGCGTTCAGGGGGGGCATCATGCCGGCGCCCGGCGCGCCCAGCCCCCGGGCCAGGTGCTCCTCGCTCCGGGACAGCATGGCCGCGTGGGAGTCGAAGCCGCTGGGGGAGAGCATCTTGTCGCTGGCCAGGTGCCCTCCGGGGCCGTAGGGAGCCAGCGGCTGCTGCGCGTTGTGCAAGGGGCCCAGGCCGTTGGGCAGCGGGGAGAGGGGCTGGCCCATGGCCGGCATGTCCTTGGGGTAGTGGCCGTAGAGGTTGCCCATGGAGGAGAGGCTCCGCTCGTCCCGCATGAGGGTGAAGCTGCCGCTGACGCTGGCGGGCAGGCGCTGGTGCGGGTGGTGGTGCGGGTGCGGGTGCGGGTGGTGGAACTTGTCCGAGACGGAGGAGATGGGGGGCAGGTGCTGCAGCGGGGTCAGGGTGGTGTAGGTGCTGCTCAGGCTCATGCCCGAGGGGGACTCGCACGCCATGCTCATGGCCGGGTGCAAGGGGCCCCCCAGGCTGTGCTCCGGCCGGTAGTCCCCGGCGCCGTCCAGGATCGAGGCCATGCTGGACACCATGGCCGGCCGCGCGTGGGAGACCAGGTTCCGGTGGGCGGCCGGCCGGCCGTGGGCAGGGCTCATCAGCTCCCCGGCCTGCGAGTGGGACACGCCGTGCAGGCTGCCCAAGGTCTCCATGGTAAGTTCCATGCTGGCCCCCCCACCCCGCCCGCGCTGCCCGGCTTAATTCAGAGCCATCGATCTGCCCCCGGCCAGCGCGCAGTCAATCCAGCATGGCTTGGTGGGGAGCCCGGCCTCCCTCCCGCGCGCCTGGCTGCCCCCCTCCCGCCGCCACCCCCTCGCCATACAACGCCCGGCCTCAGTGGGTGCGCGCCGCCCGCCCGGGCTCTGCCCCGGCTGCTGGCTGTGGCAGCCCGGGCTCTCCGCGCTCTGCGGCCGGCGCGGGGGAAGCTGCGGATTGCATTGAATCCCGGACCTCCAGCCAGCCTCAATCTCACAGCCGGCAGGGCCTGACGTCAGCAGCTCCCGGCTCGCCACACAGCCCCCCGCCCCCCCCCTCTCCCAGCTAATCTGGTGAAACTATAACTTGATGGCAACGTGCAATTGGAAAATAAATGAACTTCTGCTTTCCTGGACACCTAGCGCTCTAACCTCCCCCCCCCCCAGCCCCCAGCCATGCACACACCTCAGTGCAACCTGCCTCGCCTCCCTCCCCGCCGCCCTGTGCAACAAAGCCCAGGCGTGTCCGAGTGCAAACCCAGAGCCGTGTGTCAAAGAGGAGAATTGATCGGATTTGAAATATATAGAAAAATGTAGGTAGCAAAGAGACCGTTTGCACGCGTTGCATTGGTGTAACACACAAACACACACACACTCTGACACACACACTGACACACACACACTCTGATACATACACAAACACACACTGACACACACACCCTGATACACATACACACACACAAACACACTGACACACACACACACTCAAACACACATACACACTCTGATACACACACATACTGACACACACACACACACACACACAATGATTAATCGAAGCAGAGGGGGGTGGAGGGAAAAAATATTCTAAAGGGTTGTGCATAGGAGAAAAAAAGTTGACAATTGTGGACACAGTTTTAGTTAGCTTCTTTCTCTGTTTATTATAGATCATATAGACTCAACTGTATATTATATATATAGCTTTGACGTTAGCTAATTTCTATATCGATCGATCGATCGATGCACATGCAGGCTATTCCATAGAGATGTGTGTGTGTGAATGTGTGTCAGTGTGTGTATCAGAGTGTGCGTGTGTGTATCAGACAGCATGTGTGTGTGTGTCAGTGTGTGTATCAGTGTGTGTGTGTCTACATACATTCATGATCTCTTTCCCTGCGTGTGTTTTGGGGGAGGCGGGCGGGGCTCTGTTGCTGAAGGGGAGGCCTTGGAAAACACACACAGTTGTGCCCTCTGACAACCCCAGGCTAACGGGATAGTCCTGCAGAGAGATTCACCCCTTAAAGCTCGTCCTCTGGGGATTGCAGGCTCTCGGGCAATCTAGGCTCTGTCCCCATAACCGCTCTGCTCCCTACAGGTATCGATCGCTCCAGATGAGGAGAGGAGGAGAAATACCTCCTGGATCTCTTCCTGGGGAAAGCCGGGGGGAAAGGAGGGGGTCAGCTCCGGCTCTCTGGGTACCTGTGGGCACGCAGGGGAGACCGGATTCCACTTCGGGCTGCCTGCCAACTAGCGCCACCCTGCTTCGCTCCGACGCAAAGGGGTGTCCACACAGTGGCCAGGGAACGTGGTAACCCACATTGGGAGGTGGCTGTCAGGAGCTCCCTGGAGACTGCCATGGCAGGGGTGTGTGCCTGTGTGTGAGATTGCAACGCACGCACGTGTACAGACAGACACGCACAGTAATAGGCGCGCGTTATACACGGACCACCAGGCGACCTGTAACCAGCAGTAACTTTACTCAGGTGAGTATTCCTCCCGACTTCCGCAAGGCTACTTACAACCAGAGTTCCTTACGGGTTTGCGCCATAGAGTCCAGGGAGTAACCGGGTTTTTGGCCTTGTACGAAAGAAAGAAAAAATAGATAGATAGATAGATAGATAGAGGGGGTGGATGGGGATAAATAGAAAGAAGGAAAGAAGGAAGGAAGGCAGGCAATTGGTTTTCCGGATCCAATCAGTGTTTGGGTTATCTTTAAAACTTACTTGCAAAATATTACAGGCTCTAATGTGTGACCCCCGCCAGCAGCACAATAGCTGGCAAAATTAAAAATACAATATTTCCGCCGCAGAAATAGGTTGCTCCCTGGAAACCAAAGACTAGAAGGAACCAACAGACTGGACAGACATTGCAATAACACCCACATCTCTCTCCCTTTACAAACTCCTGATCTTCAAATTCAGATCAGACCCATGCATTAAATAGAATCTTAGAGAGAGAGAGACAGTAGGTGAGAGACAATAAAACACAGACATTTAGCTATAGCCAGACGGGCAGACAACAACATATCATCTCTCGCCTTTCTAGGGAAAAAGCACTATTGAAATCTGAGACCATTCTTTGGCTCAAAAGAGAGGAAGAGCAGACAAAAAAGGACAAAGAATTTAGCTTCCATGGAGCCTCTGGCTAATATTTAAATTGATATTGAAACAGTTCCAATATTTTCAGTCTGTTCTGAGTCCTTTCAGGTCAATATATGCTGGTTTCCAAAGCTTTATTGGACTATGTAAAAAAAAATCTATAGCTTACCATTTTTAAAGCATTACTAACTATTCTGAAGCTTTGGATTTAATAAGCGCCATCAATAAAGAACACGTCTATTCCTTTGGAAATCATCCTCCAACCCTCTAAATCTATTACAGTACCCTGCATGAGACCAAATCATTGTAATGAGTTGCGGGGGGGTGGAGGGAATAGAAGTCTCCATTTAGCTGCTATTGACCCAGATGCATTGCACCAACTATCCTCCCAAACCAACACCACAAATGCAATTTATGTAGGAGAAAAGTCATTTTGACATGCAGTATTTTATTTTAATCATTGCCAGTTTTTCTCGTTTGATCCAGTCCTTTTCCTTGGAATCCCTGGTCAATTTCTTTCTAGAAGGCAAACCTCTGAGAAGGGAAAAGAAGATAAGCAAGCACCCAGAAATGAGGGGTTATATTGTGTCGATTGCATATTTTATGTGCTTTTGAATCCCTTAAACATGTCCATTGAAAGCACCTATGTTACTCGCTATATATATTCCAGCAGCAGTTTTGGTAATATGATGGCCATGTTCCAGTACTGCCGCCACAATACCTTGACAAAAAGCTCCAAAATGCACGTTTGCTGCTTGCACCCGCTGCGTGCCTTGAATCCTTCCCTTTTGACTTCGGGCTTCCATAGATCTCAAGAAACATCTGAGCGGCAGAGACATTTCATCGTCAACAGCATGAAATGACTGAATTCATGCACCAGCTGATATATGACAGTCTCTTGCTGATCAGAAATGGCAAAGGGAGGCTTGAGCTTAATAATTATTATTAATAATAATGAATAATAATAAATTTAAACTCTGATTCGGTGCAGCCACTCGACAAGCTGCATGAATAGTCAATGACTACTTCATAGCAAACTTTTTTTAGGCAAAATATTCAAAACTGTATCAATAGACTCTGTCTTTATTTTTATCCCTGTACAGAGAAAAGGAAAAAGGCTTCTTGCTAAAAAATGTCATGCTTTCACTGTGGAACTGGTGAGACTGAATACAACTCTTTCTTTTCTTTTTCTTTGATAGCAATATAAAATCAATCCCAGAGCCAGCCATTTCCTTAGCCCTTGGTAGGCCCCTTACATGCAAAACAACAGCAGCAACCTGGAGGGAAGAGGTTGGGAGGCTCCTTGTTTTCCAGACCTCATTGAGAAGGAAGAAACCCGAGATGGATTGTACCATCAATTTCTACTCTTCAGCTGGGCAGGACATGCCCTCAAAGGGCAAAGGAGATACTGGTTCCATGCACTCCCCCTCACCCCCATTACTGAAGTGGCAACTTCTTATCCTGGAGAATGAACATAAGAACATAAGAAGGGCCATGCTGAGTCAGAACAAAGGTCCATCTAGCCCAGTGTCCTGTCTTCCAACAGTGGCCAATGCCAGGTGCCCCAGAGGGAATGAACAGAACCGGGCAATTATCAAGTGATCCATCCCCTGTCGCCCATTCCCAGCTTCTGGCAAACAGAGGCTAGGGACACTTCAGAGCATGATTTTGCATCCCTCCCCATTGTAGGTGTCCCTGAAGCATTTGAAATGTCCCTGAGACCAGGCATCAAGGAAGGATGGTTGCCCTACAACCCATCCCCAAACCCCTCCCGCTCCACTGGCGTGAGCCCAATAGGTGGCAGAACCCCACCATGGCCTAGAACCAGTTGTGGACAAGGGAAGGGGGGAGGGTGGAACACGGCACTCCCACTTCCACCTCTCGCATCCTTCCTCCATCCAGAGTAAGGGTGTCAGTGATGGCCCAGAGAGACATCATGAAACAGGGACTCAAGGATTTGGACTTTCTTCTCTCTCCCCCGCTCCAGGAAGTGGGCGCGTTGGAGTCTTGGAGAGCATGTCAGGGCATGACCCTGAAGCACCAGGTGTGTGAACAGGACGGTGTTTGAAAAGTCCCCAAGAGCTAGCAGGGAGGTCTACAGTCCGGGAAGTGTATGCCACCTCTCCCCACATTTCTACAGCATGCAAGGCCCCACCTCGTGCCATAGGGCTCCCAGGGCCCTTGTCCAGGTGGTCACAAGCAGGTGGTCACTGGTCACTATCCCCACATTATAACTCTAGGACACGGGTTCACAAACTTTTTTTTGCTGGAACACCCTTTGTAAATAGTTCAGGCTGTGACAACCCTCCCACCCCCAAAAAAGGGATGACCCCCCCCCCATACCATGCCACCCTTACTTCTGCGCTGCTGCTGGCGGCAGCGCTGCCTTCAGAGCTGGGCACCCAGCCAGCAGCTGCCGCTCTCGCAACCCCCCTACAATGGTCCTGTGACCCCCCCTTTTGGGTCAGGACCCCAGCTGGAGAAACGCTGCTCTAGGAAAAGCTCCAATCGTCACTCCAAAGTTTGGGGGAGGAGCAGAAGATGCACTACAGCTGCCCTCCCCTAGAGGGCAGACTACTACTGAAGGAGCCT